TGTGGGTGTGTGTATTATCTCCTTTGTTTCATCTCTCTCTTTGCATACCCAATCTTTAGCAGAGTGCCTGACACTAACAGGTAATTGAATCCTTGTTGATTGGCCTGTAGACAGTATGTGAATAAAAATATTCAGTTGAAAGACAGTTTCTAAGATGGGGGCCAATATATGGTTGTCAATGCCAAGTTTAGGAGACATTGCTGTGTGGTAATCTTTAGGAGGGAAGACTTTATAGTATGCTCTCAAAAGCTGTGTTTACAATGACCCTCTCCAGGGAATTTGCACAACAAATGTTGAAGATAATGGAAAGCCTTTTCTAGACTAGAAAACATTTCTAAAGATGAGAACTGAGAAGGAAAATAAGGCAACACAACAAAACCAACTCTACTGAAAATATCCAGAAAGTATGTTCCCAGTGATGTCATGCCTTCACCACACAATAGGTGTGACCAGTATCTACGGGACATTTATCCTTATCTCCTAATACTTTTGGCAGAAAGGCTTTTGGGCCAAATTGCCTTTCCTTTAAGTAAATTAAACAATGACTCCAACTTTGCTCATTTCTTCCACCATTGTCCTTTCCATTTCTCTGACTACAAAGACAGTGGGTACAAAGACAATGGGTACACACATGATATGATGTGTGTGTGTGTGTGTGTGTGTGTGTGTGTGTGTGTGTGCACTAGGGATCTATCTCTCATTGCCACTGAAGCTCCAATCCTCTAGGTTCACTTGTTTCCTCCTTCCCCAAATTGATATTAAAATGAGCCCTGAAACTTGTCATTCAGATATATGGAGCAATGCAAAAACCAAATAGGCTGTTCACCCTGGCTCCCCAAGACTTGTAACATTCTAGGGGTGGTACTAGGATCTAGAATTTTACCAACCCTCTCCCCTTTCTCCCATGCACTCTGTGGCTTTCAAAAAACAAATTGCCAGATGCAAACTGCTTTTCTTGAATACATTTTGACTCTTTCTTGCAAATCTGCCAGGAGCTCCAAGGACCCAGAGCTCCCTTATACATGTTGATAATTTCTTCATTCACTCTCTCTATCCCACCCACAGACTCATTCCTTCTCCTCCATATACTTTGTGAACTTTCCTCTTTTGAATGCATTCTGCTCCTCTTGAACATACTTGGAGTCCATACCGAGTCCCAGTGCCAGCTTTCCTCTAAATCGTCCTCTAAATAGTCTTGTATACACCCAGAGGCCAGTTTTTCCCACCAGTCTGACACCAGAGATGAGGGTATATCCGAGGGCTTCTTAGATGGGCCTGGGGAATAACTGGCGAGTACTGGCAGCTGTGTGGCCCAGCAGCCTCAGGCACACAGCTGCACCTCCTAGACCAGCATCCTCGGCATCTGACAATCTACATGATCATATGTGTGTTTAACAGAGAGAGGGAAAAGTCGCAGTAGGGTAAGGCAAAGCATAAAGCCTGTTTAGTTCATGTCTACAGTTTAAATAAACTGCTTACTTTCTGTATTTTATTTCAAAGGAGGTAGGTTGGTGTGCTAGAATGAGCGCCAGATTGAAAGACAGGAGATGAGCATCTATTATCCCTTCTGTTACTCACTGTATGATCTTAAGTAATTCTATAGTCATAGAATTTTAGAGCTTGAAAGTACCTCATGTGGTCCAACCTCCTAACTTTATCTCTCTAGGTCTCAGTTTCCCCATTTGTAAATGGAAAGAGGAAACATGGTATAGTGGATAGGTGACGAAGCTTGGGGCCAGGAAAACCTGGGTTCAATTCCCAAACTAGACATTTGCTAGTTGTGTGGCCCTGGGTAAGTCACATGATCTCTCTGTGCCTTAGTTTCCTCATATTTAAAATGTGGGAGTTGGATTCAATGGCTTCTAAGGTCTCTTCCAGCTCTAAATTAATGATCCTATAATCTCCTAATTATACTGAATAGTCCCTAAGATCCCTTTTTGTGCTTTGATTTCATTATAATTTACTTTATACTGTCCAAAGTGCATAACTATATAGTGACTTTTGCCTCATTCTGTATGAATGTGAGTAACAGACTAATCAGCAGATATATGTAGTGCTAAAACATATTAACTTTGCAATAATTAGCTCCCTTTTAGGCCACTAAAGAAAGATTCAGAGGTTCAGGAATGATGTGGAAGTTAACTTATGTTTGAATCATAGCCCTGTATTTTATGTAACGCTTGAAAATAACTCTAAATAATTCACCTTACTATCTTTGCTAATTGTTAATGACATTAAGTGGCCAGAGCATGCTGGATGTTACTTAGTACTGTGTGATATACCCGTATTAGCTACAGGCTTTTCCACCAATTCTAACCCAACCTTTATTCTAGTCCAACCATTAGGGACTGTCTTCAATATGCCTTCCACAGTGGTAGGGATCAGGATCATAGAAAGTTGGCCTCAAAAATGACCTCATGCCATAGATGCTAGAACACAGAGCATTTAACATGTCATGGCTTAGAAAAAACCTTCAAGATTGTGTAGCCTAATTCTTTCATCTTAGGGAAGGAGGAATCTGAAGCCCAGTAAGGGTAAGCAATCACTTGTCTTAGGTCTCAAGGCATGTTAGGGTTAGGTCTTAGGAGTATAGCTCAATTATCCTGAAATCTAGTGTTTTTCCACTACAGTGAACTGCCTCTCATTGGGCATATGGTCCACACCTCTACACTAAGGGAATGAACATTCTTTAATCTTACATATTTCTCTCGTTTAATATTTTTCCTTCATGATTTCAAGGGAAGACTTTCATTTGCTATTGTATAACCAACATTTTGATTGGTGGCCCATTAACTCACTATTTTAAAGCTTGAAACCAATGATCACCCAATTTGTGTTCAATCCTTATATAAGTAATTTAATTTGGCCCTACTCTTTAGTCAAAGGTCGATCACCGGACCCAAGTCTGCCATCTTCTCCATATACATGTTGTTTGATCAGCAGAGCAACCTGGTTAGAATATATAGATTTTTCAGTTCATCAGCAATTCATGACGCCCATTTTATATTTTCATGTCAAAGTACTTGTAATTGTTGGCCTTTAAGATCGAGGATGCTTATCTTAATGATTCATTAAAGTCAATGAGTCCTCCACTTTCATTCATGGAAGTTTTATTGATTCCCTTCAATTTTGTATCATACTTATTTTCCAGGATATCTCTCCTTTTTTTGGGTGGGGGAAAGAACCACATTCCTACCTGCCTCCTTCTACATCTCCCCATTAAATAGAGAAATACAAACCCTTGTAATAAATATGCATAATTAAACAAAATAAATTCCCTCGTTGTCCATGTCCAAAAACATATGTTTAACTCTGTATCTTGAGTCCATAAAGTCCTCCACTTTCATATCACTCGCACCTCAGCTTCTAGCAACTTGATTTCTGATCACACTGTTCAACTGAAATTCTACTATTCAATTCTTAGAGATTACTCATGGTATTTTAATGGCTAAATCCAATGGCCTTTCCTCAGACCTCATGCTTCTTGATATCTCTGCAGTTTTTGCACCATTACCCAATCCCTCCTCCTGGATATTCTTTCTTCTCTTTGCCTCTGAGACATTACGCCCTCCTGGTTTTCCTCCTATCTATCTGGCTTCCTTCTCAGTTTCCTTTGCCTGATAATCATCCCTATTCTTTCTTTTAAATGTAGGTATGCCTCAGTCTTTGAAGTAGGTTATCTTCACTTTTTTTCTTTACAGTTTCTCCCTTGGTGATTTCATCTATCTTTAGGGACTGATTAATAACCTCAAAATTTATAAATACTGTCTCTCTTTCTCTCTCTCTCTCTCTCTCTCTCTCTCTCTCTCTCTCTCTCTCTCTCTCTCTCTCTCCCCCTCTGTCTCCCTCTCAACCCCCCTTCTCCCCCATCCTATGCTGATCCCTATCTCTATATGGTTATGACCAGCCCTATGGTTTATTTTGATTAGGTAATTCCAGGTAAGGAAGCTTCCTTTCTCAATGAAGACAGGCACTTGCTACACAACTTATAGTTTAAGAGTTGTTTAGGTAGCTGAGAGGTTAAGTGACCTGTTCAAAGTCATGCACTTTGTGTGTATTGTTGCCTTTTGTCTCTCTTCTGCCAAATGTTCTTCTACATTACTATTTTTCAGTTTTGGATCTGTTAATCTTCTACAGATTCTTATTCTTTAGGGAGTTCCATCAAATATTTAATTTTTCTTAATTATATTTCAAATTCTGTATTAAGTGCTCTATTTTATGCATTGAGAACTCTAATTTCTGAACTAAATTCATCCCTGATGTCTTGTTTTATGAGTTTGATTTCTTTTCAGAGAAATTCTACTTATTGTTCCAGGATCTCTGGGGAGGCAATGGGATTCTGCCTTTCATCAGGCACTATTGCTTCACTCTCCTTCATATTAAAATATTTGTTAATTGTACTTTGGTTTCTCTGTGGTTTTACTCATTTTCCTTCTATTTTTAGGATCATCTGTGTTGTTTTATATGCTTCTGAACTTTTGCTGAAGCTTTTTCTCTCCTTATCTTTGATCTCTAGATCTCTTTCTTATAATCTTTTGTTCCCTACTCTCTTCACTTGCAGGGCTGCCTCAGATTTGTGGAATATGGGTTTATTGGCCTCAGTCTGTCCCATGAGTAATGTAGGAGATGGAGCTGGATAAACATGGGTTTTCAATCATTTTTCCATTCGGCTTTGCCCTCTTCATGCCTTTTGAGTCTGACTAATTCCACCTTCCACACTCCTCCTTTCCTCCACATGCCTGGGAAGAACCAGAGCTACTATTTCTTAGTGGCGCAGAGGGGAGAATGGGGCTAGCTAGAGTTATTGAAACTCCAAGGGTCTCTGCCCTGAGTAACCTCCAGGGGTGGAACTAATTCCATCTGGGTTTCCAGTACCCCAACAGGTACATTTTGAGCCTACTTGACTTCTCCTCTACTCCCTCCCCTTTGTTAACATGATTAGGCATAATGATCTTTTGCCACTTTTTATGGAGTAGAGGTACAAGGTATGATCAGGCAGAACCACTGTAGCAGAGAGGGGTCTCTCCCGTAGATCCAAACCTGGGAGTTTGCCGTTGTTCACTGTGTTTGGGAGGAAGCGTGTAGAGATTAGTGGGAGGACCTTGTTGAATTAACAGTCTAAGAATTTAAGTTCTCTGGCACTGATTCATAGTATTTTTTATCTTTCCAGTTATTTCTTATCATGTGGATTTAGCTCTAATTATTTTATATCTAATACATAATCCCTTTGGAAGTTGAAGGGTTGAAGATTTAGAATGTAAGCTCTTTGCGAGTAGGGATTGTTTTATTTATTGTATTTGTAAGCTAGCACCAGCCCAGTAGGTGCTGGGACTTCATAGGTGCTTAGTAGATGCTGACTGGCTGAGAGGTTTGCAGAGAGGGACTAAGCTACCATCTTGCTAGTCATGTGATCAGGTGATTCCCACACAGCCACTGTATGTTAAGGGAAGATCTTCTTGACTGAAGATTACTCATTATACCTCACTGTCATGGTCTCTAATCATTCTCCTGAGCTCCAATACTACCTTTTAAAACCATTAGAAGTCTTAATCTGCATGTTCCATTGGCATCTGGAGCTCACCATATTCAAAATAGAACTTATCTTTCTACTGAAACCCATTGATCCACTCAACTTTCTTATTTGTGTTGAAGACTCCACCATGCTCCCACAGTCACCTATAGTTCTAACCAGTGTCATCTCTGACTCTCCCCTTTCTCTCCTCCCTTTCTTATCGATTCTACCTGAATGATTTCTCTTCTATCCAGCTCCTCCCTACTCACACTGCCAATGCTCTAGCTCAAGCCCTTTTTGCCACTTTTCTGGACTCTTTTACTAGTCTCCTAATGGGTCTCTCTTCTCCCACCATATTCCATGTAACTAACAAAATAATCTTCCTAAGTGACCTTGTCATTCCCCTGCTCAAAAACTTTTAGTGGTTCCCTTTTAGCCATAGGATAAAATATTAACTCCTTATCTTTTCTAGCCTTTGTTTTCATGCACGTTCCAGCCAAACTATGCTCTCAGCTACCTGAGCTAAGCATCTACAGTACTACTTCTGTACCTCCTCACAGGGCATTCCTTATACCTACAATATGCTCCTTTCTTTTTGCAGCTTCTCAGAATCCTCATCTTTCTCCAGGCCAGGTGCCACTTCTTCCAGGAAGTCTTCCATGATTTTTGCAATTGTTACACAGACTAACACTTTTAAATTACCTTGGATTTCTTTTTCTGTGTATATGTTGTGCCCATGCTTCTTCTACTCCTGAATAGAATATAAGCACCTATACAGCATGGACAATATTTTCATTTTGGTCTTTGTATCTCTATCACCTAGCATAATGTTTAGCACTTTTTTTTTTTGGCCCAGACTTGTGATTTCAGTGATAAAGGAAACTCCTGATGAGGACTTGCCCATGGTCCCAAAGCCAGTATGTGTCAGAGATAGGACTTGAACCCAGACTTCTCTGACTCCAAGGTTGGCTTCATATCCACTATTTGCTGAACTGGGAATACATTAAATCCTTCCACATTTCAGCTTTCCCCATCGTGGTTTTGATGTATCATGGGTCAGCATAAGAAATTAAATGAGAAATTTTTGGGAAGCCGTAGATGACACGCAAAGGCCAACAGAAAATAGAGAAAAAGTTTAGAAAGTCAGAAATGCGCAAAATATATATGTAGTATTACATAATGTCAACATATTTTATCTTTTAATATCATAATAATTCAAACTTCTCAGATGTGAAGGGAGGGCCAAAAAATTGTGCATGAATTTTCCAGATCACAGGGGCATCTTTCCCCTAACCCCCTCAGTGTGGAAGGGATAACTGTCGTGTACAGGCCACTAGAGCAAGAGGCAGGACAATGAGGGGTCAGTCCTTTTCCACCACTGGCTTTGTGCACTTCGGAAAATAACCGCCTCTGGTAGAGGGGTGGGGGTCTCCATTGCTTCATAAATATAATGGGCATAATAACCCACCTACTTGAAGGCTATTTCCTAAAACCTTTCCAACTTTGAGGCCTATTAGTCTACCATTCTATGAATCAGAGACACAATCAGAGGCATTTCCATGGCACCAGAACACAATTACATAAACATGAGGGTGAAATTGCCAGCAATAGGCCAGATGGTAAAGGGACAAGGCTCAGCTTCAAATGCTTGAGCAGCTAGCTTCTTCCAAACTTAGCTGAACTTTGGGAATTTGGCTGGAATTCACATCAAGATTTTCTTCCAGTAAATCTTGGTTTGGACTCCACTGGAAGTATTAAGAGAGTGATTTGCTCATGTTCTTTTCAAATACAGAGCTCCTATCCCTCAATCAAAAATTAGTGAAATGTAAAAATGAAAAGTGACCTGCCCCGCTTTTCTGGTGACTATAGAATTGTTTGGTTGAAGAGTTCTCTCTGAAGTTTTCTCTCACTGAACCAGCAGCTGTCTTTACTGTTCTCCTCTCTGGGAATTGCAGTTGGGTTACAGTGGAAGCTTCTGAAAGGCAGGAAGCCTTTGCCTAACCACTCTTGCCCAGTGATCTGTCCCTCCTCTGAGCTCAGAGCATTTATCGTCTGGGTGACTCACTTGGCATTTGATTAATTATCATGCTACCTTATAACATCTCTTGCTCTTAACTAGTTCCTGGTTAGCAATTCACTTGTGTCTTGCCTCTTCAATAGATCTTAACCCCTTGACTCTTAGGACCATGCGGCATACTTTTTGTATCCCTAACAATGCCCAAGTATCACTTGCAAAGTAGATGCCCAGTCAATGTATTGACCGTCATAGAACGTCTGATGTATATTAAGTTTTTTACATTGTGGGTGCTTAGAAACTTGAGTAACTGGAATGTTCTCCATCCTTACCTCCACCTTCTGATTCCCCTGGTTCCCTTCAAGTCTCAGCTTAAATTATACTTTCTGCAAGAATCCTTTCCTTTAATGCTCATACCTTCCCTTTAAGATTATTTCTAATTTGTCCTGTGTTTAACTTGTTTGCATGTTGTCTCCAGTAGTTTGTGAGCTCCCTGGGGTCCTGCCCTTCTTTGTATCCCCAGAACTTAGCACAGAATGTGACACATAGGAGGTGCTTAATAAACGCTTGTTAATTTGACTTATTTTGATTTGTCTTGGGTAGCTTTCAATCTCTCCTATAGGTGTCCCTGCTCTGTCTACTGGCACCACCTCATCCTTCTCCTGGCCATCAGGACACAAAGGGAAGAATTTCTGATAGCAAAATATCAGTTCCATGATAGGGTAGAGGAGGGAGATGTTTTGGGGGAAAAGGATATTCTTGGCTGTACACTGCATCTTTGTTTGAAAATGGTGCCAGATTATTATACAATTTTAAAGAATGGGACTCTGAATCTTCTAATGATCTTGTTTCCTTAACTCAATGTTAATGCAGCCCTACTGCACTGCAAAAGGACGCCAGATCAGAAATCTTTTATTCATTGGTCACATAAATTCACCGAGACTGGTATAGTGGATTCAACACCATTTCTACCTGCCCTCCCCCAATTACCCTCTACTTTGCTCAGTTAGGATCCATGACTTCAGGGATTCAAATGTTGGAGAAATAGCCATTCTGCTCATCATGCTCAATCCTGCTAGAATCTTTCTCTCTCATTCATTAAAAATGTCACCATGCCCAAATGAGGAAATCCATAGTCTGAAAGGAAGCTTTGAGATCTTGGGAGGGAAACAATCCTCCCATTTTGAAACTTGGACATCTGAGCTTCCAAGAACAAAAAATTCACTCAGAGTCATATCGTTTGTCAAAGGAAGGTCAAGGACTAGAATGCAGACATCCTTTCTTAGACCAGTGATTTCTCTACTAAGCTGTCGTTTTTTCAGTTGGAAAACACCTCTGCTTCTTTTCCCCAAATTGCAATTGATGCTTGTAGTTCCATTTGCACGCTTAATTGTCTGTGGCTTCAAAATTACAAGTAGCCTTTCCATGTTGAAGTGCATGGAGAGTAATGATAACAATGCTTGTTTCGATTTTGGAGGAATTCATGTTGAATTCCATGTAGACATTCCCTTGCTCAAAGATAGATGAACAGATAGAGACAGACAGATAGAAAATAGATTTTTGTTGCTGAGTCATTTTTCAGTCCTGTCTGACTCTTCATGGCCCCATGTGGGGTTTTCATGGCAAAAATACTAGAGTGGTTGACCATTTTCTTCTCTAGCTCATTTTACAATGAAGAACTGAGGCAAACAGGGTTAAGTGATTTGCCCAGGATCACACAGCTAGTAAGTGTCTGAGGCCAGATTTGAGCTAAGGAAGATGAGTCTTCCTGACCCCAGGCCTAGCACTTCATCTACTTTACCACCTAGCTACTCAGGTATAGATAGTTATGGTCTGAAAAGGAGCCTGAAGATCATGGGAGGGGGACAACCTTCTCATTTGAAGCTTGGGCATCTGAGGTAGATAGAAAGGTAGATAGATAGGTGATAGAAAGAAAGAAAGAAAGATAGATAGATAGAAAGATAAAGTCTTTATTAAGCATTTAACATCTGCCAGCCTTTGTGCTGAGTGCTGGGAATACAAATATAAGAAAAAACCCAGTCCCTACTTTCAAGGAGGTTATATTCTAGTAGGAGAAGACATATAAAAGGGAGGTGAAAAGCAGGATTTGAGGTAGGTAGGTAGGTACTCACATGCTAAGAGTGGAGCCAAAAGAGAAATGAAGATGGCTCATCTTGGCACTTCTTCAAATAGAGGTTTCAGAGGAAGAGGCCACATGGATGGAGGAAACTCCAGGCTGAGAAGGCTGCTGAAGAGGAGGTGGAAAAGTCAAGATAGTCAGGAATAGTCTTGAGAGAGAATTTATGTCACAACTCATTCACTCAACTTCACTCTGTGTGGGTCTAGTCATTGTCTCCTCAAATCATACACAATGCACTATAGGCCTTTCTCTGGTTCTTTTGATATTTTATGAATAACACAGCACAACTTTGGGCTATGAAATGGTTGTCTCACATTCTTTTTATAGGATCATCCCACCCCAGTTTTCAGTAAAATATATTTGTGATAGTCATAATATCTTGCTTTGATAGAAAGACTTCCATGGTTACCTAACATTCTTCAGATGTTTTGATCCTCACAGCAACTCTCTGAAAGGGATAGTGCAATTCTCATTTTCACTTTCCAGGTGAGGAAACAGCAGGTTAAATGACTTGCCTAACATCATGGAGCTAAAATACTGTTAATGTAGCACTTGAATCCAGGGCTTTGGACTCCAAATTCAGTTCTGCTTTTAGAATCCCACAAAGTTTTTATCAGAAATTTATAGATACATGTAGGTTCCTTTATCAGGAACAAAACAAAATTAAAAAAAACAAAACAAAACCAAAAACCCAAAAAACCCAGTGCCAACTGTATCAGTGCCAGCAAAGCATGGGCTTTAGGCTTTGCTTATAATTCCATCCAAAGCAAACACAACTCTATTTGAGGTTTGAGACATTGAAGAGTTTCATTTTTTTTCATGCTGTTTATATTACTATTATTAATAATGATAGAATAACACTAGCTATAAGGCTTCATAGTTCTTGGTTATAACTACCACAAGTGAAGGAGGAGGCCTGTGAACAAATATTTCCAGTTTGGGAAGTGAACAAAATCTCTTCCAGAAACAGGAGGGATCGGGTATTTTCAAAAAATGGCTATCATGATCACAGCATTTTTTGCCAACTTTAGAAGTTCAAATGATTTTCCCAACTACTTGAAATTAAATTGAACCTCTGAGTCACTGAGATTTCATCTTCTTCTGGGATGCCATGCCAGTTCTATTGGGGGTGGTAAGACTAGGATTTATTTCAAAAATGGCAGCTTTTTAAATCAGCAAGTAGAATCTAAGTTTCTTGAGGGAAAAGATTGTTTTTTGTGTGTTTGTTTTTCCCCTGGCATTTAGCACAATGCTTTGCACATAGTAGGCACTCAATAAATGCTTGTTGGATTGGATTGGACAGCAGCCATAATGTCCCATAAAGTCAAAAAGAATCAGCAAATACTGGGGATCTGTTCATGGGCAGTTCATTTTAGGTATGGCTTACTGTATTCCTTACTGATTCTACATTCACCCTGGTTCCAGGGGATTCACCGTACTAATTCCAAGCAATCTGAGTTTGCCTGCTTGACATATTTTTCTTTGACATTTATCATTTGCTCATTTGTCTTTACCGTATGCTATACTCCTGGTTCATGGAAAGAAGGGAACTCAGAAGCCATCCAGTCTAATTCCCCTCATTTTATAGATAGGGAGACATGAGTTGCTCAGGATCTCAGAGTAGAGCTGGAATTCAAATCCAGTGCTCTTTCTACCATGCCACCATATTGCCCCCTGACCCATTCACTGTTTCCTGCCTGAATTCTTGCCCATGTACTCAAATTTAGCATCTCATACTCCTTGTGCCACACACTTGGCGAGATCACTCCTCCATATGACAGCCCTCCCCATATTTGAAGGAAACAATCATATGCCCCCTAGCTCTTTTCCCCTTCAGGTTAAACATATCCAAAATCCTTTAGCCAAACCTCATATGGCATGTTTTCAAGTCCCTTTTGGATGTGATACAGAGAAAAAGTACTGAACTTGGAATCATAGGACCTGGGTTCAAATTCACCAGGTTCTGCTACTTATTCCTCGTGTGACAAATCACTTAAGTTCTCTGAATTTCAGTGTCTTAATCTATAAAATGAGGGGATTGTTGGACATGATGATCTCTAAGTTCCCTCCTGGCTCTAAATCTGTGGTTTTGTCATCTCTCTTGATTGTCCTTCTTTGAATGCACTACAGTTTGTCAATATCTCCCCTAAAATATGCCTTCATCAGACCACCTAGAACATTCTAGAACTATTATTTTTTTCAGATTAATTTTTATCATTAAAATATATATATATACATATATATATATACATACACACACACACACACACACACACACACACACACATATATATATGGAGAAATCTCACCCAGCACAGATTAATTGGGGGCAAGGCCCAACTGACAATATAATTTTGAATAAAAGTATATATTCATAGAAAGGTGGTTTTATTATTCCAAGTACATTCAGTAACACTAAGCTAGCAATGTGTTTTTCCCACTAGAGGTCCTTAAGGTGCTGGTTTTAAAAGATCAGAGAAGGATGATGTGTAATTAAGATATCTATTATTCACAGGAAAAACCATTGTCTGAAGTACTGGAAAAGTTTCTCTCTTTAGTAGGCTAAACATTCCCCCTTGCCCCACTCTCCTCTGAAATAATCTTCCTGTTACTTAATAATCTTTCTTTCTACCAAGGGAAAGTTCAGTCCAGCCACTGTCTAAATAATCACAAATTCTGACTTACTGAAGTACAATTGATGAGGTTTTTCTGTACTGAGTTAACTGGCGTACTTAACTTAGTTAAAGAACGGAGTACCTTCCAACCAGGGAGATGATGAATTTGAAAGTATTGGCCAGCCTACTCTGATAAAGTCAGCCCTTCGCTGTCTCAACCTCTCTGCAAGAAGGATGAGGGTGTGTCCTCTCTTGGACCCATCTCTAAATCACCAGCAACCCTGAAGTAACAGTCTGTCCCCAGGCGAGAGAGGGGGTTCATCTTATCTCCGCTGACTGATATACAGAGTTAATGGCACGATGCTGTCTTGGCAGCCCCGCATGGAAGAAACAGAACACCAATTTAAATCACGAAAAAGTCAGTGAATCTATCATCATTAATCTTGCTGTCAGTTTTAATTTTGGGGACATTACCTCACTCAACACTAGTTGAAAAGAGCTGCCAAAAACGGTGATGTCATCATCACTAGCCGCATCTGACCCTGGCTGCTGATTTTTCAGAGCCCAGAGCAAGTTAATAAATCCCTGGGTGCTCGGACACACATTGGAGTTTTATTACAACGAAGGTATAACCGGAGATGCTGTTTTAATTAAATGGCCTGAGAAAAATACTTTCCTGTGTTTAGTCAAACTGTAAAATATAATTATCTCTAAGCATTCCGGGTCTGTTGCTTTCTGTGACTCTCTGAGTGCGTGCTTGCTTTCAGTTCCCCTTCCCTTCCCGCTTTGCTCTGGGGAGGAGTGAAAGACATTCCAAACATGGGCATAGAGAGAACTGACAGATCCCCACAAACACCTTTTCTGGGTCACCAGCCCCCCATCCCCCTCAAGTGAGAAAGCAACGTAGCTAGCTACTCGCAGGTAACTAGATGCCTTTTGCGTGACAAAGCAATGGAGGGAAGAGGAGGCTTTCTCGTTTGAAGTCTGAGCTTTGGAGCTGCGTAGTTTTAAAGAGGGAACTGCCTCACAGGGGAAAACTTTGAGCACGGCAGCAGTTTACTTGCAACTTACACCTAGTCCCTCGTCAAATATTTATAAATAATCTCCCCCGACACCTTTGCGAACTGTTAAGGAGATTGGTTGATGCCTTTTCTCACTCGTGGCCCATCTTAACTCCTCCAGCTTGATCCTCTTGTGAAGTCATCTCTCTGAGGAGAGTGGAGGGGGGGCGGGTGCCAGCCACTGGGCCAGAGGCATTGCCATGGCACCGGCACACGAGGCCATAAACACGGGCGGGAGGCGAGGAGAAAGCGCTGCCGGCACAGCTGGAAGGAGAGGCCCGACAGTAAGGCGAGAAGGCTTCGCTTCCAACCCAAACGTCTCCTTGCTCAGCAAGGGGGAATAGAAGAACTTACTGGCAGAAGAAACGGGAGTGGGGTGGGCTGGGCTGGACTGGGGGGTAGCCTTGGATTAACGCGATCCTTGGCTCCGCTGCAAAAGTCCCTGCTTCCAAAGTCAGGAGGGTGTTGTGGGTGTTTGAGAAGTGGCAAGTGTTGGTTAACGATCAGCACCTGGACACGTTACCCCAAACCTTTCCTTTCAGATGCCTTCAGTGACGCCCCCGACCCCCAAAACCTTTACAGCGTAAAGACTCTGTAGTCAGCGACCCTAGGTTGGAATGCCGCCTCTGATATTACTAGTGACTTTGTACAAGTCGCTTAATATCCCTGCGCCTCAGTTTCCTAGTCCGTTAAAAAAAAAAAAGGCGTTGGATTAGATAGCCTCTGAGGTCCCTTTTAACTCTAGACAAGTGATCTTCCTGCTACCATTACTTCTAGAGGTCTCTGCATCCAGCTGCACTCTTATCAATCATAGCAAATGGCAGAGGTTGGCTTTGCCCCAGCACAAAAAGAAGAGGAGGAGGGGGAGACCTCTAACCTCATTTTTCATGAGCATGGAAGGCAGGGACCGATCCTAGGTCTCCAGGGTGGAATGAGCAGTACACAAATCCAATGCCCCACCTCACCCTCCTGGCCGAAGTCCCTCTGAGTCTTTTTATGGGAGAATATTAAGTGTATCCATGCACAAGATACATTGCATGATGTAAGAATCAATAACTGCATCCTGTTAACAGTTCCTGCTGTTTATAGAGTATTGTCTTGACATAGTTGTTAAACCTCAATAAATATGTTTTTTAATAACCATATGGTATTTAACATACAATAACTGTCTTATTAGTTCTAAATTAAATCCTTGCTCAAGACACTTAATTTAAAGTGTGACCGATCTTTTTCCTGGCTGAGAAACGGATACTAAATAACTGGGTTGAGGGCACTTCTTCTTAAATAAGACTGTTAGGTGGGGAGATTTAAAAACATGTGCTTTGATGATATGTTTAAATGAGAATCACATCATTTTATTCATGGGTGAGGATCAGAATTATGGGAGTTGTCTAGTTTAGTGCTGTATTCAGAGGATAATGGTTTTAAGTGGGGCTCACAGAATCCAATCAGTGCCTTTTTTCCTTCTTCCCTTTTGGCATTATCCTAGCAGGCACATAGAAACTTCCTATTTTTCCTTCCCTGCTCCCACCCCCAGATAACCACAGATTCTCATTATGGCTTCTGAATACCCTTCTCTAGTAGTGTTCCATACAGCAGACCTTTGTCTACCAAAAGTTTAGTTCCTTTGAGACATTGCCTTCCACTATGATACTGTTAATTTAGCTTGGGCCTGTGTGTTAATGATCCTGTGTGTGCTCTCTCTCTCTCTCTCTCTCTCTCTGTCTCTCTCCCTCTCTCTGTCTCTCTCTCTCTCTGTCTCTCTTTCTCTCTTCCCTTCTTTCCTCCCCCCCCCCACGCTTTTCTCTCTTCCTATCTTTTTCTTTTCATGTACTCCTCTCTTCTTTGGCAGTCTGGTCAAGGCTCTGGACCCCTTCTTAGAATAATGTTTTTAAATACATAAAGTTAAGCACAAAGGATTAAAAAGGACTGAAGAAAAGTTTTAGAGGCAATTTCTGGATAATTTAATCATTTTATTAATAAGGCCAGCATGTTTATTAATAAAGCAATGGTCACGTAGCCCGTCTCTCTTAGACCAAAGACCCCTCATGTCAGTGGGCTCACAGTTTATATACTCTTGGAAGAGTAGGTGTTCCTCAGGGTGGCCGTCAACTCTAATTGGTTAACAATTAATGAGAAAATGATTATTATAATGAGAGGGTGGGCTATATTACAATGAGGGTCTTGGAGAGTGACTTATGTCACCCAAATCTTAGTCAGAGACTTACTAATTTCCATATCACCTGTCTGACAAAAGGGAAGATCCACATTTCCCCAGACTTGTCTGAACAAATACAATGAGCAGGAATGCACCCACTAGCCCAAAGTGAGAATTTCTTTTACTGTCTTTGATTAGATCTTGGCCTGAGTACATCTTTGAGAGAGATTTCCCACAGTGGTTGATTTCTGGATGAGGAAGTAGAAAAGGGGAAAAACTTTGGTCCTAATACAATAATTAGTTATTAATGCCAGAAAGAAATAATCATTTGTCACAAGGGTGAGGCAATCAGTTTTGTTCCAAGAAGCCACATTTAGAGGAAGTACCTTTTAAAAAAATGAAAGAAAAAAAAGCCAAGCCCCCTGCAGCTCTCCACCGTGCATGAGTTGGGAGAGTAGCTATACTTTGTCCCACCCATTAGGGTGACATGTTATCTTCCCAAATGCAGATGGCAATAATTCCACTTGCACCAGCACTTCCACCATTCTTTAATGATTTTTAAGAGGAATGCAGGTTCATACTTGGCAGTAAGAGAGGGGTGGCCAGGAAGAGAGTCTAATGGATCAATAGCCCCATCATGCTCAATGGCCCACAAATCTTCCCTAATAAACAGGATGAGGTGAGGATCTGGGCCATGTAAGTTCAGTGCTGCTGGGGGGTGGGGCAGCTCTTCCTGCCCAGGTGTCTTGTGGCATGGCACCAGCATATCCCATTCTTTTATTTCCTCCCTACACATGGTGGGAGTTCACAGGGGAAGAGTCTCACCCACCCACTATCAGTGAGATAGTAGTGACAATTGAGGATATAGGGTGGGGAAGTTTGCAGAGGGGAAGAGATGTAGAAAAGCTTGTCAGCCTGTACCCAACATCCCTAGGGCCCTTGAACAAATCCTGCAAGGCCTAAAAAGCAACTAGTTAGAAAGAATAATTAAAAGAAGAAGATACTAGTTGGTCTATTGTAGAAGCTGCTGCTCACTACAATGACCTTCCTAGCAACAGCCTTACACCTGTGTCCCTAGGTTTCCGTCTTACCCAATAGGGAATGTTCCTGATCACCCTCCCCCAACACACCTGAGGGTGCCCTTTCTGCCTACTGTCTTAGCAAAATTCTAGTTCAAGCACTAGATATTGGTATTTTTTCAGGCACAACCCATAGAAAATAACTTTGCCAGGCTCCTGTAGCCCAGATAACGGGACTTAAATCCCTTGTAGTCAATAGAAAAGGAGACATACGTTCCACTTTATAAAGGGGGAGTGACCGTGTTGCAGACCTTACTGCCAACTCCAAATTTCCAAGACCATCTGAAACATGACTCTCACATTAAAACTCAACATTGCCTTTTAATTTGTTTCTGTGCTTTACCCTCTGTAAGGGTATCTTCTACTGACCTTGAATTGGCTACTCCTTAATCGGCAATGATAGGTGCATCCCAGTGCGGGCCTGCTCCCTGCATCTCTAGCAGTGTTGTTCATGCCTGAGTGTTGGTTCTTACCCTTTCATGTCTACATATGGCTTCCTTTGCTGAGCTGGTGCCTTGGTTTTCATGATTAGCTGAGTTTCCTGCCCCTGGTTTCTAGCTGGCCTTCCAGAAGCCACTTGCTAGACTGCCCTACCTGTGCCACAAATAAGCTCCACATGTTTTGTTGACAGCTGCCACAGGATGACATGCTCCACTCCCAAAGGACTGAATATAATATTAGGATTTTCAAACTCTGAGGCTGGCCCCCACGGGAGATAATATTTCAGTGCTGGGAGAAAGGAGAAAAACATACTGCACCGTGCCCAGCACACAGTAGTAAATGTTTATTGAGTGACTGACTGACTGACTTTGTCTCCTCAAAGATGGAGCTTAGTGGTAGGATTATGAAGCTTATCTTGCAAAAAACCCCCCAATAAATTCATTTATTTCAACAAGTTTCTTCATGAGAAAGCATGATATAGTAGTGTACTGAATTTTGAAGGCTAAAAATCTGGGTTTGAATCCTGGCTCTGTGTGATCTTGGGTAAGTCACTAAGTTCCTTTGGGTTTACTTCCTCATCTACAAAATGAAGGGGATTGGACTAGTTAACCTCTAAAACTCCTCTCAACTCTGAACCTATGATCTTTTGACTTGTGGTTCTCCTAGTGGTGCCACACATTTATGATGACAAAAGTGTCTTTTAGCACTGTGTCTCCCCCAGGACCTAACATGGCACATTTCATGTAGTAGGTGCTTAATACTTGTAAGTGGAATTTAAACTGAATTGATAAAGCAGGAGAGATGGGTGTTTGTAGCTGTCTAATGAAGGTCTTGAAGATGGTCACTTTAATAGAGAAATGACCCAAAGCCCCGTGAATCTAAATTAGGAGGCAGCCGTGAGGCCACATTAAGAGCACTGGATTTGGAATCAGAAGTACTTGTTTTGAATACTGTCTATGCTAGTTACCAGCTTAGCACAGTCCCTGACCCATGGTAAGCACTCCATAAACGCTTTTTATTTCATTCTTTCATTCATATAAGTGATATGAACTCCAGTAATTGACAATCTCTTTGGGCCTTGGTTTCCCCATTTGAACAGGGAAGGGGACCTCGAAGGTCCCTTCCAACTCTGATTCCTATGATATGTGAATGCTGGCCAAATCAGAAAGATTAGTCCTAAGAGGGACTTTCTGTGTTAATGCCTTTGTTTGAAGGGAAGGGCTAGGGGAAGTACTTGTTCCAAATGTGACAACAATGGTGATGATGATGATGATGATGATGATGATGATGATGGCAATACTCACTGAGACAAATATCACACCCTCTCTGTGCCCTGGTGTCCTGCTTCTTGCATATAATCATTTACACCTTATTGCAGTAATCTGCAAAATACTCTTATATTGAAGAAACAAGATTGATTTTTATTTGCCTGTTAGGAGATTTGA